CGATTTTTAAATTTGTAATTTTTTTGGATATTTCCCCCATTTGCGGGGAACGAGGGAATTTTTTTCAATTTTTAAGGGTAATGTCTTCAACTAGATACGATTTGTGATCTTTTGACGTATTTTTGAAAGAAATCGGTCCAGTGAGAGCTGAGAAAAAGTGGCAACAGACATAAAAAAAAAAAAAAAAAAACATAGTAAAATTAATACCTTCTCCGCTTCGCATCGAAGCTAAAAAAATCATCAGTATAAAATTATAAATACAATAAAATTGTAAGTTTTAAATATCTATTATAGAATATTTGAATGATTTTGGGATGTCATGCGTACAGATCACGTTATGTTGATGAAAATGATATTATTAAACACGTCATATTGTTTCAAACAATATGTATATTGCTGGTGTAAAACTCAAAGAGACTTCTCGTTGTCACTGCTGTGAAAAAAATAATGGTTTTAACATAGTGCAACCAGAATTTTTATTCTTTTATAAATAGCAATTAAAAAATCATTGAATAAAAAAAAAAATGAAGAAGATGTTGCAACCTATATTCTATACAGGAGCGATCCTAATTTGTAAATTTTAGGAGGGTATGAAGTGAATTTTGCCAATTTTAATACTTTCAAGAATATAAAATTTCACGATTAATTCTAAATATGCCGACTACTTATAAATATTGGGGAGAGGAAAGACATCCTCACATACTTCAATGAAATCGCCCCTGTTTTTATACAAAACATTTTAACTGTACTCCATCTATCTGTAGTACTACATGTTCAATAAGTAAATAAAATCAATTGTTACTAACAATAAGAACTCTTCCTTAAATTTAAAGGAAACCCCTATATATTCTATACGATTATATTTACTGGCTTAATGTGGCTTTGTAAAAATAAAGTAATGATTTCTAGTTTCCCCGAGGGACCTTCAACTCTTTACTTAAACGTAAAGTTAATTAACTTGATATAAATGACGGGTTGGGTGCTTACTTGACACTCAAATAATAAACTGAAGACAATTTATTAGATTTTAACTAAGGACATTATTTTATTACCCATATACAAATCAAACAATTACATATAGTAAGAACATTTACATAAAGAAAAGAATAACATAACCTAGCCATCTGACACTGGCACCGGCCGCGTGTTATCGCAATCCTTTGAATGCTCCACAACAAGCATCCTTCTCAGCCGACAACAATCACGCGTGTCACGATTTTTTTAAGGTGACAGTACTCACTAATTGACCGAAAAACAGAGAAACATCACTGATTTACGAGTATTCAATAAAATATACGTTTGGTGTTTGGCCTATATAGACCAACACAAAACCAACAAAAACTATGCCAGATCACTGGCCACGAGTCATCAGGCTCAACGATATAACCTCAAACACGTATACGTACATAATAATATAGGAGCCGATAGTGTCGGACACCACTACTATGACTGTCATAAGTCAAGCGGCGAAAGGGGGTGGTAGATGATAAGGTACGTGGAACTTGATCAGTATTTATTATTTATTTTTTAGATGCTATGTCTGACCAAATAATAATACCTTATCATGAAAAATCATATAATAGCCAATATTTTAAAACATTTTGACAATAATAATATAAAAGTACCACAGCAATAAAATTCCTTTTTTTTTATAAAACAATTAATAAATTTTCATTTCGCTAACATTATTATTATTTAAAATTATCTATTATTATTAATTTTAATCAAATTGTATGTATGGATTGTTTACTAATTATCATTTAATAATGACTAATTTGTTAATATAAAATACAATAAACCTAAAATTCGAGGTTATTTCACTTTATATATATATATATATGTATCATCTGTACAAAATATATTTTTTCTATACATGTGATACATTGTACTTCAGAATTAAAAAATTTTAGTATTTACAATATCTATAAATTAACTTTAAAAATCCTTAACTGTTAATGAACTAATGGACGTTCATGAACGATTAATGAACTGTCGTAAAGCATGCTGGTATGCAAATGAACTATTTAAAAAAATGACTATTTAACTGTTATCTAGCTTTTTATAGCTGAACCTAATAACGATCTATGAACACTTACTGTACTTTTGTAGATCTTGGTTCACCCCATGTTTAAATTCGTGTTCAAATCATATTTTGAACCATGTTAAGAATAGGTTTTGAACTAAATTCAACACTATTGTTACTATGTTAAATGAACCCACTATGAACTCGAATTTCTACTAGAGCATAATATGCAAAACGTCCAATTCATCAACTCGTGTGTAGTGCATTACATTTTCGATGTCATTATTTGATGACATCAGATTGCAATATTCTTCTTTAATTTATTTCAATAAATATTGAAATAAGAAATTGTTACTGGGTTGGTTTAATAATTTAAGTAATGAAATTTTAATTCATTCTCTTATAGGAATTTTATTATCAAGTGCTAGGAAAACTTATTTTAAATTTTTTTTGTATTTTGAATATAACAAAATAATTTTTTTTTACTGTTAAGTTAATTAGCTATAAAATAAGTTACATTTTAAACACTTCGTTGTAACATTACCGCCGCTTTTATATTGTCACGATGAAACTACTTAGTGATTTCAGTTTATCTAGAAGTATACTTGATAACAGTTACCTAAGATTAGCTTTTTGTAGTAGAAGACAAATATAGAAACATAAAAAGCGCGAACTGTCTTCTGGTCTTTAAACACTTCCGGTTGTCACTGTTTATTTATAATCGATTTATATATATTTGTCGAATATTACGACTTTCTTCTTATAATCTCAAAGTATAACCCAAAAATAAAATTCTTAATATTTTCATGGAACATAACTAAACGTAGTGCCCCCTTTCACTATAGAATCTACCATGTGTTTACTTAGACCTAAGCTGTCTACGCACCTTTCGCGTGTTTTTTCTGTTATCTTTATTTTATATATTTTGTCTAGTACTTCTAGCATCGACTTAATTGTACTGAAAACGGAAAACTTTCTTAATCATATTTAAATCTTATAAGTATCATGAAAGGTAGAATGTATTCGCAAACGGCTACGGTTAGAAATTCTAGACCCCTCTAAAATGTTGATAAATTTTCGCTTATGCCTTAGGTGTTCAATTGTTTTTAAGCTAAATTTTAATATCAACGAACCATTACATATTAGGAAAGGAGGTATGCCAATCCCTCTAAGATTCGGCTCTAAGTGTAACGGTTAATAACTAAATGTACGAGTCCAACTGTTAGTATTGTCTTTGCAATATTTGAATAACGAGAATTATTCTCGTAGTAATTTATAGTATATTAAATATTTCATTATGATATTTAGAAGCGCTTGGTTATAATTAAATTTGTGAAACAATACTAAAAGTTATACTATACAGTACAATTTTAACATATTATGATAACTATTTGTAAATGAGCATATTATGACTCGAGAGTAATCATGACAATAGAATAAATATTTATAATAAGTTAACTCGAATCCATTTATATGCATGGACTAATTACAGACTTTAGAAATAATACCAGACTTAAAAATTTATATTAATTGTAAATCTATATGTTTAGTATAGTATAGTTATTGATTATTTCATTATTTCATAATTAATAAAGAGATATTCTATGAGATTAAGCAAAAATTATTCTCATAAAACTTTTTTAAATTAGTCTTGAATTATTTAAACCGCTAGTGAAAATGAATAGCTACAACGTAATTAATGTATCAATTAATCTCAAATATTAACCAAATATTGTACACAATATTACATAAATGAGGTTATAATGATTTTAGGGTGTGAAAAGTATCACAGTTATATAATAAATACGATATTAGTATTGTTATCGAAAGATATGTTACATTTTAGATTCTGTTAAAATAATTGATATCTATCGTATATATTTTAATTTTATTAATTTTAGTAATAAATATAAATTTCTTGAAATTACAATAATGTGCTCAATTGATATATCTGACACACCAATTATAAAACAATGATAACATTAGCTAAACCTTACATATCTATAGTATTTAGACAAGAAATATTTGTTATAAGTAATTTGAACATATGGACAGGGGATATCCTAGGCGTGATTTTTAGGAGAGGAATGTAGTGGAGTAAATTTTGTCGAATGTTGCTGATATATATACGAACAAAAATAAATAATAAGAAAAAAAGACCACAGTATATTAAAAAAAACCGACAAATAATGACTTGATTTAACTTGGCGTTGTGTGGGATATCACACATCAGCCTATGAAATCGGCACTATAAAGGGCTAAAATACTTTTGTCAACGGGTATTAAATTATTCAGTAGACGAAAAAGAATCATAAATCATTAAGAGGTTATATTTTAATATTTCAATAGATCAACTTTCTAAGTAGTATTATAAATGATGCTAGTGATCAAGTAAAAAATCTTGTTTAACTGCCTATTTATCTTTAAAATTATGTAGGAAACTCTACCGTGTAAACTTTAATGACATTCAAAACTACTAACTCTGTTGCAGCCCCAATAATTATGAAATTTATAAATTAATATTAATAGGAAAAATTTTAAGGAGGAGAACAATTAAGTTGTATCCTCAAATATTTTGTTCAAATAGCGCCTATTCGGGTTAAGTTTCATATTGATAAACCTTATAATTTTATATTTAAATTATTTCAGTGAAATATTTATAATAAAACTAAAACTGAATATGACATAATTAATTTGAACAATTATATAAATTACCAATATTTATAAAGTTTTAATAAAAGAAAAACTGATTTTTCTGAAGTATAGAAAAAAACAATCATTTACCATTAACACAAAGTAAAAATTAAGATTAATGAATAAATTAAAATAAAAATAAAAAGGTATTAAGTAAAACTTTACTCAAAATTTTGAAATTTTTTTATTGTTTTATAACATGTACAATGAATTACAACAAAAGTTAATAGTACAATTAATTTTGAATTATATGGTATCAATATTAACATGCATAATGGTCAATAATATAATTTAATGCTTGGAAGATATAAGAATTTTACTTAATTAGTGAACTATAAATAAAATTGTAGGATATATCTCGATAATATTAATTATTTAATTGTAAATTAATATTGATAGTGGTGCTTTAATTAATTTTTCTTCAAAATGTATTTCAATACAATTATACAGACATTTAAAAATTGGTGTCATTTGTAATTTTTGCGTTTAGTGCTTAAATAAAATTTAAATTTAACCTAAAAAAATACGCGGAGTTCCAATGAATTACTATCTATTAAGATTTCTTTCAATTTTTAGTGTTGCGATTTCTTAACAATTATCACTATATTATTATTTAAATCCATTACCGACCATTGAAACTGATTTTGGATCTATAATAGTATTAGGTGAATTTTGGGAATCGCCATAATAGTATTGTTGTAACTGTTGACGCAATGGATAACTATAAGCATAGTTCTTAGGTCCAAAAATCAACTGATATAAATCTTTAGCATTACGGATCGATGTTAGAATGGAAGGTTCTTGTTCACCATTATACTCTCGATCCAAGGATCCATATTGCTGATCTGTGATAGTGAAATATTTATTTGGAGTAATTGGCTGTTTTCTTTTACCAAACCTGCTCTCAAATTAAAAAGAAATCATAATTTTATTGTTAAATAATTTTAACTGTATAATTATTTTTAAATTTAGTCATTTTTGGATATTTGTACTTGTAAATTTAAGAAGATATTTTGAATATATTACCCGTGCAAAAGTTTTTTAGGGTGAAAATAGCTCATATTATTCTATTTACGAGATATCATTTTATAATGACTATCATAAATAAAATTTGTGTAAATAATATCTGACAGTGATTAAAAACACTATCATAAGAATTGCTTCAATGCAAGTCTGTAGATAGTGTTTGATTATAAGAAACTGGTGGATTATTCAAAAAGCAAAATGAACTTTTGTTTCCTTATTAATACCCTGATGCAAGTTGCATGATTTATAAGTGTGTAATATGAATACATATTTATTATAGCAAATAAATATACTATGAAATTGATTTTTAATCATTTAGTAATGTAATTTTTACGGAGAAATTGTAAAGTAATTGTTTCTTTTATAGCAAACGTATATAAAAATTGAAAGGATTGATGCAATAATTTAAAACAAAAATTCAAACCCAAACTAAGATCCTTATTAAGTATTATTTTTACTTACAGTTAAAAACTGTTTATTCAGCTATATATTTTGTAACAATACATGTACAATATATATTTATATATACTTATACAATTGCCGACGTGTAAAAAATGACTTAATGATTTTGTTTTTTTACTTTTTTTTAAATATTTAAAAAAAGTACAAAAACTTTTAAAAAGAATAAAATAATCTTAATATAAAATATTATTATTAATTATAAAATATACGTAGTCATTTCTTGTACGACGACAATGATATATATTTATATTTTATCTGTGGGATCTAAATGATAGTATGATAATTATTGAAGAGAATGATTTCAAATAGGATATTTAAAATGAGTTTAAAATTAGCTTGCACTATGTACCTAGGCCTTGAAACAACGGATAAATACTGCCCAAGCTGGTCTAAATAAGTTCGTAGTTCTCCTGGTGAACCAAATGTCTTAGGTCTAGTTGGTCGAGCTACGGTCTCCAAAGATGATGCTGCTGATGTTTCTGATACTATAGCAGAGTGACACGTTATTGTTGTTGCAACGATTGATATGCACACAGCTAACGCTATGACATTACTTCTACAGCCATTTCCAACCATTATAACCAAAATACAAAGCTATTATGCAAATAAAATTTTAACATAAAAATACATCATTAATTTGTGAAAAAATTCTAAAGACAATTTTAGCTTTTCTATGAAGCTGAGAAAGAATTGGTTATGTCATGTTTTGAATTGTTTTTATGTTAATTATGGAAATTCTCAGCTCTCACTAGACCAATTATAATGATTAATGCAAAAAAAAACTCTATTTTAGAAATTAAAATATATCTCAAAATTGCAAGACCATAAAAATGATATTTTCAAAATTGAAAATGATCATAATTCAACTACAACAGAATAAACTAAAGATAATAGGATGTTTTTGGTATGATATTATTGGATATCTAATGAAAAAAATGTTTTTAACTTAATTTTTGATAAATTTTTTTAATGTCTCCCTATTTTAACATATATCATATTAAATTTTTTTAATATGATATAAATATACAATATTAAAAAAAAAAAAATGATGTCCGACGATTTTTCTACTAAGTAATATTAGTTGTCAAAATACAAAAATACATTATTTTTAATTTTTAAAAATGTTTCGGGACATCTGACATATTGAAACCTAAATATAATATTAGACAAAAACAATTATTGGTATTATAATTTTTTATTATTATCAATAATTTGTCAACGAATTAAATCTTATGTTACTGTGAAACAAAATCTAATTTGTCGTTCTCTTCTACTAACATATAGTATATATAATGTAAATAAGAACTTGAGCTTTTAAACTTGATTTTTTTTAATATTACAAAAAATAATAAATTATTTAAACTTAATATGATACAAGTAAAAACAACTGAATTAATTTCAGCACATGGTGTTAGGAACCTTTTAGCATAATGGTATGTTAATAAAAATTGAGTATTATCACTAGTAATAGCACAAGACATATAGATTTTAATAGGCAGAATGATTGAGTTAGGTAAATATTAACTATTAATATAAACTTATTGTATAACTATAAAATACTTTTTTTAATTAAGGAAGTTTGTATATGTCGATCCAGATTTAACTTAAAAGACAAAAATCGCTAAATTTTTGTTAAAATTCGTCTTATTTTTTCATTTTGTTAAAATTATTTCTAAATTACACTGATTCAAATGAAATTTTAATAGAGAATATTAAAGAAAACGAGCTTTCTTTTTGATATTCTCTTTGTGAATATTCAATGAAAAACCTAATTACAGGAAGGCTTGAAAGGATAAAAGTAACCACTTGCACATATAAATTTTTTTTTGTTCTTTATATTTGAAAATATCCCGGAAGGTTTGAAAACTTTTATCCTTTATCAAATTAAAACTTATGAAATGTACTATAACATTTAAAATATATATTTTATCTGTTGATTATTTTTCTATAAAAAATTATACATCAAAGTAAAAAATAAAACTTTCTTTTCAAATAAGTAAATAATTTATAATCATATAATATTTTGGTGAAATTTAACAAATTCGCTTCAAAGATTTGTTTTTTAATAATGGTATTTATCATTGTTATTTATCATTTATACTTATCCCAACTATGCCACTATCCCACTGTGCTGGATTTTTACATACATTATGAACAAAAAGATTACAATATTTCTTATTTTGTACAGAAAAATCTAATTATAATAATAGGTAATACAATAATTGACTAATAATGATTCACTAATAATGAATAATGATTTAATGATAATAATAAATAATAATTATACATTTTTATTAGAAAAAAAATAACAATTATTTACTGGTGATTGAAAAAATTGTTTATAAATTGCTACACTATGCTGTGTGCATTACTGGCTATTTAAGTCTCACTTAGGAGAGTTGCTTTTGCATTTGCTTGAATAAAGTGATAACAGCATATGCATTCTAGTATTAAAATGTATTAATAGAAACTTATCGAGCAGCTTTTTACCAATTCACCTTACTTCACGTGGATTATATCTATTTGTACATTTGACTGTCGAACAGTATTCTCTAACACACCGAAATATACATTGTCCTATTTATATCAATGTAATAACATAGTTTACCCACTTAGTTGCACTTAACATCAACCTTATATTCTAGTTTTAGTACACTTTCCTGGAAATAACCAACTCACGTAAACATCGTTGAAGTAATATAGTATTTATCTTTATAGGCATAAAAAAAATTAAATTATAGAACACACCTGTTTGACTTAATCTCACATGAAGTGCTATTCGCTTTATTAAACTGACTGTATGTAGATAAAATCGAATTTGGGGATAGAAAATAACAAAAAACGTGGATAAACTTTATGGAATGTTTTACTGAGGATCATTAGGTGAAGAATTAAATTCTCAAAGGAGTTTAATACAACAATTCCAAACAGTTTTCACGATGTATTATATTATTAAAACAGTTTTATTTTTCTATATGTTAATATCAGTAATTTAATAAATAACCTAACGAACAATTTAATTTCATTAGTATAGTAAATAAAACTCAAACTAACATAAATATGGGAATAAACGAAAATTATTATTTTTTTAATAATTTCTTTATCAATAATTTACATCATATTTTTTATATTACATCGTGATTAGAGCACAGAATTACATACTTTTATACATTTTTTTAAGTTATTCTGAACATACCATTAGTAGAGAATTTTATTAATTGACTTGAAAACTTTGTAATGTGTTATTATCGATGTTATAATTTTGGGGATAATTAGGTAATTATAAAAAATAACTAAGTATTACAGTGATTTCGCCGTATTTTTGTTGTTTCATGTTTAACATTTACATACACTAGTAGGCCATATTACTTAAGAATACCGTTTTATTTATTTTATTATAATACAAGATTATTAATTTACAGCGTAATTATGATGACTGATGAAATCAATTAACAAAAAAATATAATTATTTAGTATTTTTTAATAATTACTTTTTTAGAAAAATATGTTGTCATAACCTGAATTTTGTGTGATGCAGAAAATTGTTATTAATTAGTGCCTAAGAAGGCCTACGAATTGTTTAATTCAATCCTGTGTACACTAATAAATATTTAAATATTTGTATAATGATTTATAACAAATAATTTATAGTATATATTATAATGTATTATTAAAGCTTCGTAAATTTTATATACGTATAATATTTTATGATAATTTATTTAAAATTTAAAATGAACTTGATAATTAATATAAAAAATTGTAACTGAAGTGTAATATAATAAATCTTTTGTGGATCTTTCTATTTTGATGATATTAAGAAACATTAATATAAAAAAATGAAATTAAATACATAATGGGAAAATTAATACTCTCGCAGCTTTACGTTGAAGCTAAAAGAAAAACTATTTAATTTTATACAAAATTTTCATTTAAGTTTAAAAAATAAATATGAGTTGAGTTTTTTAAAAGCAATTAATACATATAATGCTAAATTATGTTGTTTGGAATGTCGTTTAAAAAATAAATGCAATAATTAGGAATCCATTCGCATTTACATATACATTGGAGTTTAAATACACCACATGTATAAAAACCATTTAATGTTCTTGGAGTAATTAAGATTTGTATTCAAAGCTGCGATTAAAACATTAACACTTCTTATGTTTATTTTATTCATTATTACAATATAAAACACATAAAGTAAACTAGAATATTAGTTCAATATTAAAATAAATAATTTAATAGTTATGAACAAATGTTTGATGAATATCAAATCTTTGAATTTTTATTTTAAGTCTTTACAAAATCATCAAACTAAAATTATATACATTAATAATGTATTCAATCTATACAATATATAGATTATAAAAATTGTTCATACTTTTATTTTACATTTTATTCTTTAATTACACTATTTTAACTTTATAAAACATGAATTTTTTTGATCGCATGTATTATATATTTTTTAATCAATATTGATAATGACTAATTTTATTTTTGCACTCAAATTTTAGTTTGAAATTTAAAAAAAATAATTTTGATTTGTGGTAAAATTTAATCGTTGCCCTAAACAAATACATTTTACATTTATTTTGAAGTTTATACGTTATTTTATTAAATTTGAATTGATCTAATAATTTTTATTTCAATTTAGTTTATTAAAAATATATTTTTGGAAAAAAATATTACTAAATGGCTAATTTGTTTTTTTCACTCATATTTAATATTATTATATTAAATTGGAAAATGACTACATTCAATAAACTTGTCATAATTTTGTTATTTTGAATAAAAAATTTATTGAATCGATTATTTATTTATTTGCTGGTTAAAACTTACATAATTTTAACTGGACTTTACCATCAATGGGGTAAGAGTACGGCTATATTATTCATTTTAACTCTGTTCATTACTCATTAAATAAAGTTAAAATCCACTATTAATACTTAATATTATTTTTTTATAGTTTGTCTAACTAAAAAAAAAATGTTTGTAACTACCAGTTGCAATAAAAAAAAAAGTGGCGCACTTTTACGTAAAGTTACTTTTAATATAATTTAGAAAAAATTGTTAAATTTTTCTATATACTTATAATAAATTTTACTCAAAAATATTAATGTTATAATATATATACAATATCAACTAAAATTGAATGTTCTAACAGATTTTTAGTAAAAATAATTTTATAACCAATTTTAGTTTCTTTTAGTTCAATGTTTCTCACTATTTATCAATCATTAAATATTATTATGTTCATACCTTATAGCTTATAAGGATGTCAACTTTATTTGACAAAAAGGAACATACATTATTAATGAGGTTATTTATTGGAGAATGATTTCATTAATTTAAGAAAATAACTGACCATTAATAACTATTGGACCAATATTTCAGAATTTATTAACATTTTTGTACCTTGGAGAAAAGAGGAGTGAAGCCGAGAATTATTTAATTATAAAATTAGCTGCACTTTCACCTCATCTTAAGTCATTACATTATTATATTAATAACAACTTCTGAAAAACTATAATTTACTATATCTATACTATAAGCTACACAAATATGCATGTTGTCATTAAACAAAATAAAGTTGAAAAGTAATAAGGAATAAGGGATGAATATAACCTCATAAAAAATATTTCACGATTGCTAAATAGATAAAATCATATACTTAAAAGAAACAATAAAAATCAATATCATTTATATATATATATATATATTATTGTATTTAAAAATTAAAATTTATCAACTCTTTCTTAGAGAAAACAAAAAAAAACGTTTAATAACTTCTTTACATATCATTAATTTATAAGCAATTATATTCTTTGAATAAAAAAATACTTTGTTAATTAATTTTAATAACTCACTTATTTAACAGATAATTATTTACAGATTTTAAAATAGAAAAAAAATGTTTAATATTGTCTACAAATAAAAATATATTAAAATGTTAATCTTACCTAGTTATTCCTTTTAATAATCGGTTAATAATTAATTTAATCAAAGTTAAAAATTACAAAATTAATATAACTTTTGGATAGTAATTGATGAAGTATTTGCTGCCGACATCAGCTAATGGTAACAGAGATCTCGAGCCCGATTATAGAGAGGATTCATTTTATACATACGTACCAATTGGAGAGACGAAAGCGCGCCTGATCAGTGAATGTATACTAAAGTTAGTAGCAACAGGTCTTTTGTCCATCACTTAAACTTATACTCTTATTTGCATCTCAAGAATATTAATATTTTGAAAGCATAGTAGTTGAATACTATTTGTCATATATGATTCAATCGTACCTTTTTAAGTGATTACAAAAAGTAACACAATGTTTTGTAAATTTGATAGTCTTAAAGGTTTTCAAAATGTTAATACATAAACAAAAATCGTTTTATTTTATCTATTGTGTAAGTTTTATTATAAAAAACAATGAAATATATATATATTTTTCCCTTTTGTTTTGCATATTAAGCATGATAAGAGCGGGATAAGATGCTATACCATAAAACGTATTTCTGTAAGCTTCTTATATACATATACGCTCATGTATTCATACAATACTGATGCTTATTTTCTTAAGAAATATTCTCGTAAAATAATAATTTCACAAAAATTTAGAAATCAAATAATGGTTAAGATTTATGGTGGCTAATACCGTATTCAAGATTTTATAAGGGGGTGGCAGTAGTTGTCATCAATTCAACTGTGTAATTGAACATTAATTCTTGACTAACACGTTTAAAAATTAAAATTAGATGGCAAATTTTTAACAATTATACTTTAAAAATAATATAAATATATTTGTTTAAAATTATAATATAAAATGAACTAAGATCGTAAGTGCAATAAGAATAAAATTTTTGGAGGATCTAAATTCATTTTTCTTTACCCATATTTTAGCTTCGATGCGAAGCTTAGAAGGTATTTTTTTACCATGATTTGTTTATTTATTTACTTATTTTTTAGCTTTGATGCGAAGCTAAGAAAGTATTAATTTTACTATGATGTGATTATTTTTTTATTTTTATTTTTTTTTTTGTGTATCTGTTACCACTTTTTTTCTCAGCTCTCAGTGGACTGATTTCTTTTAACGATACGTCAAAAGATCACAAATCGTAACTCGTTGAAGACATTAACCTTAAAAATTAAAAAATTTTCCTCGTTACCCGTAAATGGGGGAAATATCAAAAAAAATTACAATTTTTAAAATCGATAAATTTTTTCATTTTTTTCACTTTTTTTTCTTTAAACTACCATAACTTTTTCAAAAATTATGAAAATGGTATTTTTTTATATTGAAACCTTAAGTAATTTTCTTTCATTTGATACAATGTTTTTTAGCTTCGATGCGAAGCTTAGAAGGTATTAATTTTACTATGATGTGTTTTTTTTTTTGTGTGTCTGTATACGCTCAATCTCAGATTTCACTGAACCGATTTTGATGAAAAATATGTCAAATGATTACAATTCGTATCTAGTTGAAGATATTACCCTCAAAAATTAAAAAAAAAAATTCTAATTTATCTATTAAACAGTTAGTTATTACATGTTCTCCATTAAGACAATTAAAATCATTAATTACTAATGTTTTCAAAATATTTATTAACGAATCAAGTTTGATATGATAGGTTTCAACTACAAAATTAAATCATTTTACTTTGTAATTTAATCATTTTTTTACTCTATTTGTGTGTGCTACTACTAGACTATAATATTACAAATTTTTTTGTAACATGTTGCTATATAAATCATTTCTAAAAAAAATTATTGTTTTTTCTCCTGAATTAACAATTCATTTTTACAAATATAATCAAATTTTATAATAAGCTCAATTGAGTAAATCTTTTTAACAACTTTGTTTTTTTTTGGTTCATTTAGTTAAAGTAAATCATTAAAATTAATTAAGTTTTCAATATTTCAACTGTTGAATCTTTTCAAACAACAAAAGTTACTAGGAAATTATTACTATTACTTCTATTTAAGTTATCTATTACGATAAAAATGCAAAAATTATTTGAGATTTTCTGATAAAGTTACAATAAATAGTAATTATAAAACTTTCTGACTTAACGATACAATTTTTTTAATTGTCATAAAATTTTCTATTTAATGATGTCAATGTCAAACTTGCCAATTGAGCTAAAAGTTATGGTAAAATAAATTATTTTTTTTTATTATAAACATTTACAACAATCAACTTTAAACGATTAAAAAAAT